TATATATATAGTAATATACTTAAAGGTTATAAATAAAGTTAAATTCAAGGTTAAATTTAAGGTTATAATTATATAAGCTTTTATATCTAAGTAGTTAGATATTTTCTACCTTACTATATAGTCTTAATAAGAGTAGTAAGTTAATATTTATGTCTTTAATAATTATTTTTACTATATAGAGGGTGCTTTTAATCTAAAAAAGGTTATTAGCCTATCTAATATCTAGCTAAAAGCCTTATTACTAGTTATTACTAAAGTAGTATAGTATATCTTTATTAAACTCTATAAGTATAAAGGATTATATATTATTATAAAGACTTTAAGGTAGCTACTAAGTAACCTTATAGGTTAGGTTTTACTAAAGTTATATATAAAATTACTTAAGGTTAGAGATCTATTTAAGTTAAAGTGTTTTTAGTATACTAAATCTTTAAGCTTACTACTTTTACTAAGGTATATATATTTCTTTTTTATATAGTAGTAAAAAAAGAATTTAATAAAAATAATAAAGATAATAAGAATAATAAAATAGTATAAATTAAGGCAGTTATACTACTACTTAAAATAGCCTTTTTAGTAGCTATTATAGTTCTAAGAAAATAAAGCTAGGCTAAAATAGTAACATAAAGTAATATAGTATAGAAATAAAACATAATAGTAAAGTAGTAAAGTAAAGTAAATAATAATAAGAAGCTAAATAAAGAATATAAGATAAGATAAGTAATAACTAGGATCTATATTTATAGTTAACCTTTTATTTACAAAGGGTTACTTACTAAAGAGATATATACCTAAAGTATATATAATAAATTATATATATATTAAGTACTTAGTCCTTACTATTTATTTATCTCCTAACTATTAGTATTTACTACTTTATTTTATAATAGTTATAATAAGATAAGTTATACTATATTCTTTAGCTTATTATAGAAAGATACTATAATCTTTAAATTAAGAATCTAGTAGTATAAATTAAGTAGAAATAATATATATAATAAGTAAGTTAATTAGGTAAGTAAAGTAATTAGCCTACTATAGTTATAATCTTTTCTTCTTTTTACTATACGTCTAGCTACTAAAAATAATATATTTACTAAATAATAAAGCCTAATTACTCTTAGCTATTAAAGCTATTTAAGGACCTTATAAAACTAGTATTTAGGCTATATTATATATCTATTTAGGACCTTTCTTTATATTACATAACTATCTTAATAGAAAACTAATACTATAGCTAACTTATAGAATTTAATATAACTTAAAGAGAAAAAGCTAGTTAAGTTTATTTTTAACTTAGATTCCTAATTATTTCTTTTTTAGCTTAGTAGTGTTAAAGAAATAGCTAATTAACTACTTACTAACTATAAGGTATTACTAGTTAGTAAGCACTAGGCCTTAAACTTTATTAAATAAACACTAAAGGTCTAAATATATTTATTTTAGAAATAAAACAATACAAAAGCCTAATATAAAGTTCTTAATATAATAAATATAAAGTTCTTCTTTTTAGTAAATATAATTATAAAATATAGTATTATAAAGTTAAATATTTATAACTTTAATAAGACTAGCTTTATGATAAGCTAAATTATATTTAAAATAGTTATTATAAACTTTAAAAGACGTTTAAACATAAAGATAATATAGCTTAGTAATTAAGAATAGGTTATAGTTATTTAGGCTATTAGTTAATTTAGTTATAGTATCTTACTATATATTATT